TTTTATATTCACACGCTCTATCTCTGATATTGAGCACTTTATCCCATAAATATAGCACTCCTTAAGACTATATTTCTTTATATATGTATATATATATATATATATATATGTATATATATATATATATATATATATATATATATATATATATATATATATATATATATATATATATATATATATATATATATATATATATATATATTATATATATATATTTGATTTGTACACTTACGTTTTTATATCAACTTCTTCCCACGCAGAAGAGTGTGCTGAAAAGTTCTAAGCTCGATCCACTTTTCTAAATCTAAAAATGAATTAACTTTAATATGACATTACAGTTCTTAGTTGGGCCGAGAACTTTTCCTCGCCGAATATATGTGGCTGTCAGTAAAAGGAAATGTAAAAAAAAACAAAACAAAACATAATGCTTACAGTTAGATGTTAAGCAGATAGCAGATAAATACACTCACTGATAAGACATTAAAATAAATAAATGAAAAAAAGATTCTCTTTACGAAATAGATATGACAAATTGATATCACTCTCTAATTACGCATAACCTCTGAAACATGGTTGAAAAAATCTTACAATATCATGAATTACATTTGATTACGAAGGTACATCGTTGACACAAAGCTTTCGATTAGCCAAATTTCCTGTTTATGTCTGGGCCTTTGAAATGAATTACCAGAGGCAGGGTCTAGCAAATTATTCCTCTAAACTATTATTAAATAATTTACTTTTGCGTAGAAATCGAGTGGAATTATATTTCTCAGTTATGAGATGCTATACATCGGGTCAGAAGTTGAGAAATACATGAAATCATGAAAACTTCGAATAGTTAATAAATACAGGGGGAATATCAATATATCAAAATTTCTATGGGTTATTTAATTTTATTTAAAATCTAAATATTTTGATCACATAATTTTATGGCATCAACTAAATATTTTGAACGCAATCCCATGCCTTCAACTACAAATAAAATGGTCATTTTGTTATAAATAGGTATGGTTTGTTCTTTTACTATAGAAATATACTTTTATAATTTCATTGTTTTGTTTTGGTTTGGGAGTTCACTATTAGCCACTAGCTGGGACCGTAACAGTTGCTACCATCCCGGGTTAGGGTTGACCTGGGGACAATAACAGTTAAAAAGTGGTTTCAATGCTCCGCAAAACCCCCAATCTCACGACTTGCTGCTAGATGTAGTTTATCGTCATACCTAGGACTAGCAAGGGAAAAGAAATGTAAGTCGTGCTAGCGATCCGTAGTAAACCATCGGACTAAAGATCAAAGATGATTTAATTAAATAACACAATGCGATTTATCGCATCCGTGATTGCCTTACTTGTCAATAAAAATAACATAAGGCATTTGTTTTTACATCAACACTGAATGTTTTATTACTAGCATGATGCCCGTCGCTTCGCCGATGGTAAGTGAAATTTAAAAACTACTACATTTATTAAAAAAAAATATTCAGCTTAAATACAGGATGAGACATAAAAATGACTTCAAAAAGCCTTATATTTCACGTTATATTCTTTCCCAGTTACCAGACAAAAGGGGGAATTAGTTCGCGGTATACATACATTCATTAAAATTTCATTCAAATTGTACGTGTATCTACGTTTGCATGTATGTATATCTATTTTAATTCAATGACAGACAAAATATTTCTACAATTTTTTTTTTTTAAATTCTGTTATTGATTCTATTTATTAGTGAATAATTTTCAAATATTCTACGCCGCGGTCCGAAAGTCTTGTCACCCCTACGTAATATAATTTTCTATTTCAGATGGTTGACACGAAAATGATGGTGTTCATACAGATCTTTTCGATGTGACTGCGTCAATGAAAGTGAATAAACTGAATCCAGTGTTTTTACTACGCAGAAGGACAGTGAGTGACGAACCGAAAATCAACTCGACTTTTGTAATATAAATAAAAAATCAAGTTTTAAAAATATTCGCATTTATTTTCAAAAAATGACAAATAGATACTTATAGAATTTTAGAATTTAATTAAAAGAGGACTTTACGATTTCAAATACTAAATTATGTGAACTAAAAAAAAAAACAATTTTATTTTTTGGCAAATGTTTTCAGCATTATGTCGGGGGTGGATACATAAATATTCATAGCATCTTTATTCAAACAATAAAATATTTTTGTATGTATTTTGTAACCCTAAACAATTTCTCAGATAAATTGTATATTTCAAATGAAGATCATTTCGCTTTTGATTCGATTAACTCTTTCGGGAATTATTCAATATTTGATATTTTTTAAATAGCTGACCAGACACAGGAATGGATTGAACGAAATGATAGCTTGAGATATTGCAATTGCAAAGATAGACATTGTTAGAAAAAAATAATTGTTTTCCTTACCCAGAAAAATGTATTTTCTGTTCAGTACCTCATTTAAAGTAACCACATGCAATACAATAGTAACCATTTCTACATATACCGATAGTTTGTAATAAAAGGG